GTTTCGAATCGCATAGTCAGCCAACCAAAACTTCAGCATAGGCAAGCTCAGAAACTTCACTCCTTTCTTCAAATAAGCATTCTCGTCCTCATTCTCCACCCTTGGTTCTCCTGGATCCGGGCATGGTGTTGGCTCAATCGCCGTCATTCTCATTCCACCGTCAACAACAGCTTTATGGGCAAGGCTGAGATCTTTAAACAAGTGAGTTCTTTTTTGTAAGCCCGTCAGCTCAAAGTGGATTTGGTTCTCCTCCTTTGTGAATCCATCCTCGTCCAACTGTTCAACTGGACCCTCGTCATCTGAGTCATACGCATATTGACGCCTAAAAGGCAAGTCACGATCCATGTCCTTTTGCGCTATGTACGCATCCAAGTCACCAACATCATTACCATGAAACCCTTCCTCTTGCTCTTCGTCGTCATCATAAGCATCTTCATCCTCTTGAATTACTCTGTCACTAGCAATCACCTCAACTTCATTTGCTTGGCTAGTTGGTGGTTGGCTAGAAGCATTGGGGGCATACAACTCAACCTCATTTGCTTTAATAGATGGTACACGGGGATGTGGTGGGGGATAAACATTGGGGGCACCAACCACAACCCTATGCTCAACAAGTGGCACCATTGTCCTCTCGCTCATGTCATCCATTGGGGAAGAGACATGCCGGTTCAAATCAAAGGTAAACCGAGGAGATTCAACCTTGGTGGCAAAAAATTCAAGTGACTTGTCTTCCGATTGGGATACTTTTTCCTTGTATACATCCCAATGCAAATCCGAGGTGATAGGCATACTTTTCAAGCGAGATTTGGCTCCAACTCCAACATCATACCTTCCTATTAACTTAACATCAACATTGGTGTCCATCCACTTCAAAACTTGTCTCACTTTTGCAGCAACATCCTCATAGCTAGGGCTTGTATCAAAAACCAATGGTTCCTCACCCGTGTCGGCATTGTTACTCAAGAATGCCTCCTTGTCAATGTAATGAACATTAACAAGTCTCTCCATCTAAAAATAACATGAATGCATTTAAGACTTAAATGAGAATTGGTGTTTATCCAAATACATCTTATTATATCCAAATCATATCAACACTAAATTATTGGTCATGTCCACAAAAGTATCACTAATTAACACACACTAAGCAAAGTTAACCCTAATCACTAACTAACCCTAACCCCCAATCTTTCTACTCAACAAACATATATTCCTACTACACACCATGCATAGCACTATATTATCAAAGTTAACCAAGCCATTCACACTAACATATGGGGAGAAAACATGAACTAGTGTTCCACCAACATGTATAAAATGCAACCAAAATAACAAGATTTAACAAAAAATAATTGGATGATTTGGGGGAGATTACCAAGAGCAGCAAAGTGATGGAAAGATCCACCTAAGGGATGCACCTTTTGGAGAGGATTTGAGGGGGAGCTTGAGGGGTAGGAGAGAGTATGAGAGCTCCAAGTGTTCTTCAAGCTTGGGTTATGGATTGGGGAAAGTGTGTGGGGTGGGTCCCACACACTCTCCCGTGGGTTATCCACTTACCAAGGCCAGACGCCAGGGTCCCTGGCGTCTGGCCCCTTTGCCACGTCAGTTGGTCAACGTGCAGGCGGGCAGTGCGGGCCAGGGGCCAGACGCTAGGTATCTTGGCGTCTGCTTCGCAACCCAGACGCCAGGGATGTTGGCGTCACCTAAAAAGGTCAGAAACGAAATTTTTTCCAAAGCGAGGTCGAATCGGGATTTTGTTAGCCTTATAGGTCATAACAGTAATTTTGTCCGCGATGATGGCCTCTGGATGATCTACTTTTCCTCCCTGTCAGTGGCAGTCGTGAACGTGCTGGCCGCCTCGTTGATCTCCAGGACGCCGACTTTTTTTCTTCGTTGGTAGGTCATGGTTTCGTGAACATTGATGGTGGATGGCACGCGTGTGGGGGAGAGGGGGGAAGCGGTACGACATGCCCTTGTCCACAGTAGCCACGATGCCCGCGCTGTTGTGCTCCCCTGCATGCCGCCCTGGAGCAACTCGCCACTCTTCCGCGAGCTGGCTTGGAGCAACGAGTTGCTGCACCACGCGCTGGCTTGGAGCACCCACTTGCTCCTCCGTACGCCAGCCTGCATCCTCGCCCATGGTACTGACGGCCTGGAGCGGCGAGGGAGGTGGAGTAGCGAGTTGTCTAACTCATATCCGGCGGGCTCGGCGGGGCACCCAACCGGCTTTTATGTCGGAGAACTCCTCTTCCTGCTCTCGCTGGATGCCATGAAGAGTGTGGAGAATATGATGCAAGGAGGAGATGGGGAGAAGAGTTGTGGTGCGCTTCTTACCTGGCATCTGGTCTCATTTGAATAGCGGGGGATGCGAGGAGCCAACCTGCATTGTGTTTAATGCCCGCCGACTTGTAAACAGGCGTGTTACCGGAGTAGATTTCTTGGCACGTGCGTGGATTTAATGGAGGCGGGCAGGCAGTCTGTTGCCATTTGGATGCAACAAGGTGGTGTGTCCAAGCAGACATGCAGTAGGGGGCGCCGCTCTCTCGGCCAGCGCGCCGCTTCAATGCCGATAGTTAGAGATCGCGTGCGCTCCGGACCGGTATCAATGCAGGCAGCTGGCGTCGGGCGAAAAAGCACACAGGTGAGGAAGGAGGGTTTTGGGTGGCCACGGTTACCGAACGCGGACGTAGCAGCGGTCCCGCAAACCTCCTTCCTTTGTCTTTGGTTTACGGGGAAAAGCACGTCCAGACCGCTCCGTGGCCAATACAGGTCCGCATTGCATGGCAAAACTTGTTCGGACCGCGTTGCAGGCGGCTTCAGGTTCGCGTTAGAGATGCCCTAACCACCTAGTATCTCTCAATTTCCTTTGTTTTAGTTATTATATGCTACTTAAGTTCATATATATGAGCCAAACAAACAGGGTCGGGCTCTCCTGCAGGGTTCCTAGCACGCATTATCGTGCAGGGCTAACGGGTGGCCGACACCTGTCCTGGTAGGACCCCACCACTTAATAAAACGTTTTTCTTTTTTTAATTTACTGAAACCAGTTTTTCTTTGCCTTATCCCCGCGTACCGCTGCTGCCACTCCCTCTTCCACAGCCACTCATTCCACTGTGAGGGAGGATTCCGACCGAGAAATCCACCGTTCAGGTCCGTCGCCGGCGGCAAGACCGGAGCTGTATAGCGCCGTCCGTCTCTGACGCGCTTCGCCGCCCGGAGCTGTCACGGCTAGCGCCACCCGTCTCCGGCGCGATTCGCCGCCAGGAGCCACGGGGTTCGAAGGCAGTAAGACAGGAATCGCCGTCGCTCACCTCCGGCATGCTGCGCGGCTTGGAGCCGTTGTCTTGGCTGGAGGCAAGATGGGATCCGTCGCGGCTAGCTCTGCTCGCCTAAGGCGCGCTGCGCCACGCCCGGCCGTGGACTTGGCCGGCAGCAAGACGGGGCCGTCGCGGCTAGTGTCGCTCGCCTCCGGCACACCCAAGGCCAGCCCAAGGTTGTGGCTGACCCGCTCCCTGTGAGGTGGTGGCACAGTGGAACTGCAGCGCGTGCAGCCGGTGGCTGAGATTCCGCGGGAGGTCGCGCCGTCACAGTGGAAGATGTGAACTCGATGCAAACTCAACATGCAAAGGTGAGAGATGATTCGCTGCTTCATCTACCTTTGTGCTAGTACGTAATTACCTCTCAGCTATATACGTACGCAAGCTATTACTGGTAGCAATGTACTAGTAGCTAGCTATGTGCTGAACTCTGAAGTATGCAAGCTATCTACTCTCCTCTGCTTTTCAGTCATACAGTACAGGGGAAATCACAAATTGGTGAAAGCACCTTTTAATGAGTTTAGTGCCTATAAGACCACATTTAACTGGAAAACAAAACCTCAGTTACATGTCTAACATATCATAAGGAATAACCAACAACTAATCCATATTCATGTATATATTTTTATTTGAGCATAAACCGTTGTGCATCTAACATTAAAAGGAACGGTAAGATAAATTATTACATCTCAAGAGAACTGTCTTGTAGAGCAATCCTGAGATACAAAGTTTACATAGAGCTATTTAAAAGTGTTTATCTTGTATGTGACTTGATTGGCTATCCAAGACCTGGAAGAACAAAGCAATAATTTCTTATGAGATATAAACTTCAATTGGGAATATGACTTGTAAGTGAACAATACCTGAATTGGCAGCTGGTCATTTTTGAGATGTTGGCCATCCTGAGTCTGATAACATTTGGGAACTCTAGATACAATGTTGATTCAAAAGTCAATACAAGGGAATGACATATGCATGTTCATTTTAATTTCTAGCGATTAACTAATAAAATTCTACCTGACTTGGTTGAGTGCTAGTTGGCGGCTGGTGATTATGAGATGTTGGCCATCCCGAGTCCGATGACACCACAGAAGTCTACATGTAGTGTTAATCAAAAAGTAAATGACCCGTGCATGCTTGTCTTAATTTTAACTATTAACTGAATAAATATACCTGACTCGGTTGAATGCTATGATAGAAATATGGTTGTTGTGGTCGCAAGCCAAGTAACTGTTGAAAACTAGTAGTGTCTGCCTGCGATAGCGGAGCAGGCAAGCCATGATGTAATACTTGCAAATTATAGTTCTCAGGTCGTGGTACTGATGTCGTAGTACCCGGCAGTACATGCAAATTATAATTATGTGCATGTGGTAATGGGGAAACAGCTTGTGGTACCGAAGGCATAGCGGGCGGAAATACTTGCAGATTATAGTTCGCAACATTTGGTAGTGGAGGCATAGCATGCTGCAATACTTGCAAATTGTAATTGGCAGCATTCGGTAGTGGAGGCATAGCATGCTGTACTACTTGCAAATTATAGTTCTCATTTGATATGTTGAAGCTAGGATTTGGTCTAGATGATGCAGAAGCACAATCACCACTCTTATTCTTGCATGTTGTTCCTTGACCTATTTGCAAAAAAAAATGTTAGATCTATTTCAATAACATGACCAGATATTTATGTAGCTATTTCTTGTGGAATACCATACCTTTCTTATTATGTTTATTCTTATTATTCAGCTCCAGTCCAGATTTAATCCTCTTGTTGCTATTTCCTTGTTCTTTTCTCTTTATTCCCTGTACTGTGACTACATTCTCAAGGTTGCATTCAACTGGTTGCTTCTCTGTGACTACATTCTCGATGTTGCATTCAACTGGTTGCTTCTCTGCTTGTTCATGATTCGGTGATATATCTTTTGATTGATTTCCATGTAAAATTTGGTCCACCTTTTCCATTAGTTCAATTGACATAGTCTGCAGTAGTGCATATGCCTCTTTGTTTGCTGCTGCTTTGCTCAAAATGTTATTGTAAGTGCGGCATAATGATCCATACTGCCTAGCTAGCATAACTCTTATATCTTCATCATCACTACACTTTTGAATTGCCTGTGAGGCCCCTGATTTTGCTCGCCTTGTCCATCTTTTCAAGATATATTCTGGTGCCAACTCCTTTATATTGTTGTGGTCCAACACCTTTAATGCATGACGACACAATACTCCAACAAATTCAAACTTTTTGCATGAGCATGAAACTTTTGATCCATTGGGATCAAATTTCACAGTATGACTATTTTGGCTAGCTGAATGGGTAACCTTGAATTCAGAAATAGAGCCAGTACGACCACTCTCGTACACACAATATCCCATTACCATGTCAAATTCTCCTTTAAATGTCTCAAACATAGCAGGTGTATATACTTTCGATGTTTGTATAAGCATCGGCACATAAGGCACCTTTGATGATGTTTGACTCGCATAGAAATCACTTTCCACTTCAGCATACCTTCTATCATCCACAGCCCTCTCATAGTGCTTGAAGAAATCTAATAAATCAAGGCGAACATGCAGGTATCGTTTCAATAGTGCATTGATACTCTCGCTTCTTTGTGTGGATATCATATCTGCACAAAAGGTTTGTCGACCATAAACCAAAGCCCACTTCTCCTTGTTCTGGAATAATCTATGTAGCCAGTCATTATCTTCCAAATTATATTTCACTAGCATATCATTCCAACCTGTTAGGAATTCATCAACTTCTTCAAAATCATAAACACACTTGCCAAAATCTTTCTTAAATGTCTTGGAACCTTGGAAAACATGACTCAAATGTTTTGCAGCGTTCTGATACATGTGCCACACACATAGACGATGTGTTGAGTTAGTAAAAACCTTGCCAATGGCACTAATAATGGCAGCACACTGATCGGTCAATATTGTCTTTGGTTCTTTTCGTGACATGGCCCTTTTGAATGTTTCAAACAACCATTCAAACGTCTCAGATGTTTCATCATACAATAATGCAGCTCCAAAAACCACCGTTTGTTTATGATGGTTGACACCAACAAAAGGGGCAAATGGTCTGCCATAACTATTTGTCTTAAAGGTTGTGTCAAAGCATACCACGTCACCAAAGTAGTGATAATCTAATATTGATCTTGCATCTGCCCAGAATATATTGGTTATCATCTCATCTTCATCTACTTGTATAGCATAAAAAAATGAAGGATTTTCCATCTGCTTGTCCTGTAGGTATTGAAGAATGGCACCTGTGTCTCCTTCTTGGATTGACTGCATCCGCTTTGATCGGAGATAATTTTTATAATCCTTTTGACCAAAGCTAAGACATCGCCTACCCCCTGCTTGTCTACTCATCACTTCATGACCAGATTTTGGTCTAATACCTGAATCATTCAATATGTCAATCTGGGCCTTCTGAGCTTCTGTAATTCTTCTTTGGGATCGCAGTAGATGGGCTTTGCTTGGAGTTACGAGTTCATGATTGTGAGCATCCTCAAAGCTGCTTACAACATACTTTCCATTACCACTTATTTTGATGGTCATCTCTGCCATACACCCAACTCTTGTATCTGCTCGCTTCCGCTGGCATTGTTCCTTGCTCTTGTCCTTGAAACCTGCCTTTGAGCATACAAATTTCTTTGTTCGAATAACATTCGTTGAGGATTTATCATGCCAAAATTTCCGGACACTGAAACCAACATGTCCTGCATATGCATTATAAAACTCATATGCTATATCATCATTCTCAAATTCCATTCCTATCTTTGGTTTTAACCTTTTGCTGTAATCGTCATCAGTGTTTTGACCTGCCTCTCCCACATCTGTGGTGTCATGATCTACACAACATAAAAAATATCATATACTAATTAGTTCACGGACGACGCATGGAGTAAAAGATAACACGATATTCAGTCCTGGTTTTAGTGAAACCTGAAAAGCCCTTATAGATAGAACAATGCTTTTTGGAAAACGACACATGGTATTCACGGGAGCGTTAGAAACATATTGATCTTTTTCTTTGATACAGTAATCTATATCATTAGAGTCAGCAAAAAGAGAATATGTCAAAGGACAAATCTCAGGCAGTAAAATTTACGCAACATCGTAGGAGTAATCATCACTAACAGAATTATAATGCAATTCCGAAGGATTAATTTGCATGTGTTTCAAAGAAACAGGGCTACGAAAGATGAAGTACTGGGAGTAATTTGCATGTCATACATTCAACTCTTTGTTTATTTGTTTCTTTCAATCTTATCAGCTTCGTATGATCAAGTGTGTTGACAATCTGTACATTACAGGCGCAAGAACATACCTACGGACGATGAAGTGGCAGGAGCTCCGTCCATGCTGAAGAACACCGTAGATGTTGATCCACAGATGTTGATCCACAGAGAGGACAATTTCCTATCAATCTTGATCTATTCTCCTTTGATCCGGGGGCAACAACAATGGAATAGATTGGTATGAGAAAGGATGGATGAAGCTACGAAGAGATTTTGGCGGCAATCTGGTGTTAGGCGAGAGATAAACCTGTCGTTTTGCTGATTTTCTAGAGCCTAACTGTAATTAGAAAGATACGCTGGGTTGTTTAAGTGGTGGGGTCCTACCAGGACAGGTGTCGGCCACCCGTTGGCCCTGCACCATAATGCATGCTGGGAACCCTGCAGGAGAGCCCGACCCAACAAACATGCACCATAAACTAAGTATGAACTGGACGGTTTGGTCACGCCGCGCGCATCGGGGCGATAGTACGTCCGACCAACTGTTTAGTTTGGACGGCGGATATGTTAACGCACGTAGCCAGCCAGAAGGACGTTCACCACACGTACGTACCCACGTACAACACACAACAGTTAAGGATGACTACATGCGGCGAACGAGCAACCACTGCCCTCGTTAAACAAACAACTTGCCACATGGAAACTGCACCTTTTCGCCACGTACTACGTGCTTTGCAACGTATAGATAAATTTATATACTTGACCGACTACGTCAAAGAGATCGGCACGACACACAGCACACAGGTGATCATTAGCCAGCTAATTAACCGAACAGTATTATCATTTTTGTCGTGTTGCCCCCGTAAAAATTGTATACGTGTGCACGTACTTTGTATCTGCCAAGGTGTCGAGGACTCAAAGGTGCGTGCATCGGTCGGTGCATGCACAAGTCAAACGCAAGCATGTTAAATACTGCACAACTGTAGTATTGTTCTATACAAAACTTATGATGGTGTCCAATCAGTCCACATGTAAAAATATTTCTCAGACGCGACGTCTCGTGTGCCTGAATCCACCATCTTCTCGATAACCCAATGAAACATCCGTATCATCCAGCATCCAGCAAGCAAAAAAAATGAAAGAAAGGGGTCTGGTTCTGCCGCGCGCCTTCTGGCTCCTGCAACTGGTTAAGCATGTGCCCTACTCCTCCCTGTGAGCGCCTAGAGCCTCTGAAAAATTCCTAGTGGATACAGATACACCGAACGCCTTGTACATGTCAACATGTGAGTATGTTTGAGGATCACATCTTAAATTGATCCGAAGCGAGTGGTGCTAGCTTGTGCACGCCCTGTCCTGTCCTAGAGCAGAGCAGACTAGTGAGGCCATGCAGGTCACCGTCGAGATGCACAAAACCAGAAAATCTGACCCCAAACGTTTGCCTTTGCATGGCCCCTACTGCATAACAACCGTCCTAGCTGGTTCACCAGTCTTTTCCCGACAAGCAATGTTTCTTTGGACGTGGAGTTTCTGCTCACAAGCTCAAATTCAGACAACTAGTCCGAGCCTTAGCCAGATCTAGGGAGACCCAAACACGGTCAACTCCAAACCATGGTTCCCCCCACCTCGATGGCGCCGAAAGGCACCTGGAGGAGAGGTGAACTGGCGGCGGCGGCGACACTAAGGCAAAAAAACCTACTCCCTCCGTTTCATAATGTAGTGCCTATAGGTTTTTATAAAAATCAAACATTACAAACTTTGACCATGTTTATAAAGAAAATTAGGTACATCTAGAATACCAAATGCATATCATTGGATACATTATGAGTTATATTTTCAGAATGTACATGTTTAGTATTGTAGATATAGACAATTTTCTCTATACACTTGGTCAAAGTTGGCAAAGTTTGATTTTCACAAAAATCTATAGGCACTACATTGTGAAATGGAGGGAGTATATGCCTTTCTAGGAAGAGGTGGTAGATGAGAGTCCCCCTTCTTCTTTCTCTAACTCTCCACCGATGGAGGTGATGCAGTAGGTTGACGACTCCGGGTGCCACACAGAGTCGGAGCTCGCCGATGCTAGGAAATTGGAGGTTTAGAGGGATGTCGGAGAGGCGGTGTACGGTGTAGTAATGCAGTTGTGCGATGCCGGCTGGGTGCATCAGTTGGACCACGGTGGAGGGCGGGTCGACGTGGCAATTTTTTTGACCGGAGCCAATTCCTTTTTTAAGCAATCTATAGATAACCTGCCACATTATAACTTAGCTAGGGTTTGCTGCTTGGTCGAAAGAAATTTGCGGTACCGATTTTCCCGGTCCACTGAGATTTGCAACTTAGGGTCGCTCCTCAGGTAAACCACGGTATCCATGTCTCAATGCGGTCCTAGCTTGGCCTCCTGACTTGGGCCTCGTCGCCTGCATCTCCTCCTCGCCTTCTTCTTCTCAGGAATCAACGGACATGTAAACCAATCCCAGAAGATTTACAAATAGCAAGCGCGAATAATTTATGCAATTTCTTTTACATTATAGAAACCTAGTTACAGATTTGTAGACCGGAAGGCAAAACTTATGGATTGCCATTAGAGCTTCGGCGTAGCAGTCCGCAAGTGGCAAGCGGGCAACATGTGAAACACCGGGTATCTTGCATGATTTCGTCCTTGGATAAGGGAAGCTCGCTCCACTAATCATTACACTGAGTAGTTCGTTTTATTTCATTGTGATCTCGATCTCTTCCTGCCCGTCACCCCGTCCAGCCACTGGACCGGACCACGCCGTGGCTAGCCTGTCTATCTCCCTCCCTCGACCGATCTACCCATCTGTACGCGACAACGATCCGTCGGACGTTTCCGTCCTTGTTGCACTGATCGGTCGCTGCACGTAAGGCGACGTCCCAAAGAAGACGAGCCGTGCATCAAGCTAGTCGCCGTTGGTGCATCAAATAGCCTGGTTGTATAGCTATTTTGCATGGCTCGTGCAGTCCCGATCATGGATCCGCATTATTCCCACACCTGAAACTGAAAGGTGGTAGTTAGCTGGCTAGGGTACGTACATATCCATCATGAGCTTAATGCTTTCTGAGGACCACAACATGGGAGAGTGGTATTGTGTTGCTGTTGCGAATTAACTGATGCATATGTATATATCCATCCGTATGTGTAGGATGTATGTGCATGGACCACGTGTGATTTATCATGAAGAGATCTCTTGCCCGTCGTCGTGATATGCATGGGCAGATGTTTTTTTCTTGACAATGGATGCTTATATTGATATAAACCGCGTATCGGATGATACAACCCTAAGAATTCTACTCTGCACACGAACATGTGCATAACCACACAAGCTCCATGGAAATCAAAAGAAAAGTGAAAGAAAATCACAAAGTGTCGACCCAAAGACTAGATCACAATTTGCATTGGTTAAAAAAAATCCATGACAAAAGCAAGCAACCATAGCCATATCCTGATACTCCGTTCCGAGAAGGGAGGATTAGATCAGATCCAATGTGAACACAAGTACATAATCTACACAGGATATCAAATATTTTTGTATTGTTAAACAACACGTCATACTTGAACAAACATAAAAGCTTTCCGGCCAACATCCTTTCGACGCCAAGCTCCGCAAAGATGCTAGAGACAGATAGTGGCACTTTCTTGCCCTAAGGACAAACACCACTAAGCAAACTCAAAAGAAAAACCAAATTAGAGAAAAGTTGTTTCATGTTGGATCGAAGTGTTGCAATGACCAAATTAGCCTGAGAATTTTGTGGGTGATCATGTCATGAGAGATGAGCAACCTGGCCAAGCTTCACAAGAAACGGACAGGTGTAGCTATGGATCGCTTCACAAGTGGTTTGAATGCCCATTCCTAGTGTTTGGACGATTTGGTGGAAATTTGTATTGTGGGTCCGAATGAATTTACACGGTTGTGGCTTTTATATCCCTAGGAGGCTATACAGTATTTCCTAAGATTTACGGATGCCAAGAGAGTGGGTTTGGAATTGATGGCCAATATAGGTTATAAATGGAATTAATTTTCATTTAAAATATTTGAGCTGGACCATGGGATTTTTGTTGGAATGTCGTTTAGTAGGTGGTGAGTAGTCTCTAGTTTTCCCTTCTCACTAGTAGAAAAGGGGGCATTTGTCCCGGTTCGTAAGGGCCTTTAGTCCCGGTTCATGAACCGGGACTACTGAGTTGCTACTAATACCTCCCCCTTTAGTCCCGGTTCTAACACGAACCGGGACAGATGGTCCTCCACGTGGCCGGTGCGCCGAGCCCAGGCAGGGGGGCCACCAACCGGAACCAAAAGGCCTCCACGCGTCAGCGTTCCGGTGGCTGGGGGTTTTATTTTTTTTGAAGGGGGGGAGGGGGGTTGGGGGTCTTGGGGGGTTAATTTAGGTGTTTCATATATTGTGTTAGCTAGCTAATTAATAGAGAGAAGTGTCCTCTCTTATGTCCGTGCTTGGTCGACGCTACGTACTATACATAGGGAGGCCCTCGACACGCTAGCTAGTAAGAAAATGAAGGGAACCATTAAGTACAGAAGTTCGTCATGCATACCGAGAGAAGTGATCGATCGACCTCTCCTTCTCCGAGAGATTGGTCGAACAACAAGTTTTCGTATTATCTATCCGACGCTACTGGCTACATACATATACAATATGTAAGATCTCTTAATTACAATCCCCTAGCAATTGAAATCAACTTCCACATGGTATTCTCCGGCTTTATTGATGACGTGATCAAGAAAGAATCCCGCCAATTCCTCTTGAATTGCTTTCATGTGATCTGGTTATAGGAGTTCATTCCGCATCTGCCACGTCTAATTTGAAGAAGGGGGTTAATTAATACATATATATGAATGAAACTCAACAGAAATGATGGTGTAATAAAATGAAATTGTGAATATTATTGCTTACGCACTTCATATTGTCTTTTAGAGTAACCCCGCTTATTTTTCAAAGTCGCGTTGTGGATGAACTCGCACACATAGTATCCACATAAATCATTCCCTTGTTCCTGCCACAAGCACTTTACGAGAAATAGAGGTCAATCAAACTGATAATGAAGCATTATAAATGGCATTGATGAAAGTATAGCTATAGAATCAACGGAAGATGCGCGC